GCCGATGAGCTGCCACACACCAACACCATCTGCGTACGGCGCCGAGGTCTCCGCGGGGGTCCCGAGCCAGAAACAGCCAGCAGCTCCTCCTGCACCAAGGGCCTTTGAAGCTAGCAAACAGGCGCATATTTTTCCCATTACAAGCAGAAAGGATGAAAAACATTGGGGTGCCAACAAGAGTTTCAGTTTCATTTTGTAGGATACAACTTTTAACATCAATTTTATCCCAGCCAGGGCCCCTCCCCTCCCTGCCTGCCTAGGAATAGCGGGGTATGGGAGCTTATTCCTGCAGCTTCAGCTGGGAACAGGGTTTGGAGCCTGGGATAAGGATAAAAAAAGAGTAAGATTTAGTCTGCCAGCAGTTGAAGCCATGCCTGAACGTCTCTGCCTGCCTTGCAGAGCCCGTGCTCCCCCTGTGTTTGCTGGTGCGTGGCTGTTCTGTCACCAGAAAGGTGAATTCCTCCGCTCAGAGCTTTTATGGCAAGTTATTAGCAATATTAAGCATCTCTCATTCATAACAAACGGCACCCTGCCACGTGGCTCCTGGGCTGGATGCAGCAGGTGATCCCACGCTTGGCCTCACCATCCCGACCCACCATGGCCACCAGCCAGTGCAAGCCTGGGGTGCCACAACCCCTCATCAGCTCCTCTCTGTCCCTCACATTGGCAAAGCCACAGCATGACCCAGACCTGCGTTTCCATTCCCCGTGTGTGCCATTTTTTGTTAAGGGCTGTTTTCAGCCAGATCAGCTCCCTGAACCACCTCCCCATCATTTCAGGGTTGGGTGGGGAGGACTCTGGATGCGCGGGGGTGATGCTGTTGCATGGCCATACCTATGTTGGGGGTTTAGAGAGGAGGCGAGAAGCCACCATGAAGAAGAGCTCAGTTCACCCCCAGGGAACCCTGCTTATGTCAAAGGAGGGAAAGAAAACAAACAGACCAGTGAAGCCACCTCCTGTCTTCCTCCCAGGGCTGTAGTCCCAGCCTGCCGCCTGCCAAGACATCTCCAGGAAGCCTGGGGCAGGGCTGTGTAAACAGATGCCGAAACCCAGCTCCACCCATGGCCCAGGGCTGGAAAAGATTTGCAGGATTACCAAAGGCTGCCTTCAAAACCCCAGTGCCTCAGAGGCTGGAGAAGGGTTGGGATGAGCTGTGATGGAAAGATGAAGCCTTTGCCACAGGGCATCCCTTCACCTGATACATGCAGGACACCCAGCGCCCACCGGCACCGCATCTCTCCTGTGCTCAGACACACAAACCCCAGGACGCAAAGCCCAGAGCTGGGAAAACAGAGGGAGTTGGACCTTGGGCTCCTGCTGTCTTATAAAGAAAATGGACCCAGATCTGCCTTGGGTGTCACTGCTGTCACCCGGTTTGGTGACATTGTGCTATGCGCCAGACAGTAATCAAACATGATTAAAACAGTGTTGTTCAGGGCAGCAGATGTGACAGGGCTAGGAGCACCCAAGCGCACCAGGTAGCTCTTCGGGCAGCAGATGAAGGCAGGGACCCCCCTCTCTTTGCTGAGGTGGAAAGGGAGGGGGGTCAGGCTCCTGGGGAAAGGGAAGGCTCCCACTCAGGGAGCTTTGATGTTGTGGGGAGATGCCAGGACACTACAGGCAAACCCCAAAAGCACAGGGCTCAGCATCACTCAACCCCAAACCACACCAATGGTGCTGCAAGCACCTCAGCAAGAGGGCATGGGGTCCTTGAAAACCTGCAAAGAGCAGGTCTGCTCACCTCCAAGGAGATCCCTGGGGCAAGGGGCTCAAACCCCAGGGAGCAGAGGGGATGGCCCAGCAGCCCTGCTCCATGCAGGGTGGGCTGCAAAGTCTCCAAGGCACCTGCTTTAGCAAGGCTGAGATGGTGTCAAGAAGAGTAAGGAGACACGGGTACAACTTACCAAGAGCCCTGCCTGCAACCGCAGGCTGAAGCCAGGCATCCTTCAGGCCACTGAAGGCAGGGTTTGGTTTCAAGGGGCACATCAAGGGAGGAGATTATCCAGACACAACTTGGACACCTACCTTTGGTGCTGTAGCCACAAAATGTCCTGCTTTGAGTCCCGTCCTTCATGGGAGCTGTGGTTTATGGGCCAGACATTTTGACGGGAAGGCAAACTGATCAGCTTTGCCTTAAAATTCACCAAAGATGGGAAGAGGGATCACAGATTTGGTCCCAATCACCCCCAGGTCAATCAAACCTACTGCAAAGCCTCTGCTGAGTAAAATGACCCCCAGCCATCACCTGAGACATGGCTACAATGGTCCTCATGTCCCTCCTGCCAGGTATGGCTTACTCGGGAACAACCAAGAGGTCAAGAACACCCGGAGTGTAGGAGAGAGGTATGTGATTTATTAACCTGCCCCAAGTCGGCACATCCAAGCGAGGTGTAAAATTGCGTTCTATAGATTCAAGCTCAGCTCACTTGGAGGTCACCAGCTGTGGGGAACCGCTGGCTTTAAACAAAATGGGGTGGCATCAAGAGGCACTGGGGGCACAAGACTTACAGGGAGCAGAAAAGAAATGGCTCTGCAACCTCATGGCCCAGAGCGGATGGGGATTTCAGCCTTCACAAAACTGGGGAAAACACACAAGTCCTGGGGGTAGGTACAGTGCCCGAGGAGAGCAAGGATCAGACCTGGAAAGGAGAAGCTGGGGATGGGGTTGGCAGTGGGGATCTTCTCCATGGGGAGACCATGCTGAGATGCAGGTAGGTCCTCGTGATCAGTCTGCTTGAGGATCCCTCCACACAGACAACCACACGCTTTCTCCCTCTTTTTCTTACTGCCATGGTGCTGGGTACTAGTGCCTGCCTTGCCATGTGTTGGAAAGGCAGCCGTTGAGAACTGGTGGGTTCACTGCAGGAGTGACTCTTCGGAAGGTGTTTCTGAGATGCCTGGAGGGTTTATCTTGGCTCACCAACCCCTCTCCATCTAGGTCATTCTTGGAGGCGACTCATTTGCCTTGTCTGTCTTCACCTCTGGACCTTGGTAGTGGCTCAGCATGGACCTATAGCTAAAAACCAGCCCACATCACCACTGGAGAGGGACCAGAGGCTGGAGAAGGGCAAGAGGTGCCCAAAACTCCTGCCAGCACAGGAGGAGAGTCAACGGGAGACAGGGATGGGATGGGACTGGAGTGTGCACGGGAGGCAGAGAGTGGTGGGGGGCTTCTCTGGCGGTCAGGGCTTGGGAGGGCTGAGCTGGGTGCCATTGGCTGTGGGATCGGAGAGGGCGGTTTTCCGGCAAGCCATCAGCGAGGGGTTGTTGAGGAGGGTGTAAGCCAGCCACCAGCGGGCTCGGCTCTGCTTGAACCTGGCTCTGCTTGGTGGTGCCTTCTTGGGCTGCATCAGCTGGACTCCTGAAAGGAGATTGGGGAGGGGGTAATGACAATTCCAGCCCCAGCTACCCCTTGCTGCGGCTGCCCAGATGCCATCTACACCCTGGGGTGAAAGCATGAGCCACATCCTGCCCTTGCATGGGCAGAGGAATGGGAACAGCTCCTGAGATGGAGATGGTCACACACCAAACAGAGGAGGTGGCACGAAAGCAGAGGGAGCAGCAGAACCACAACCCTACACAGTGCCATTCCCCCAAGGCATCACCAGCATCTCTAAAGGAAACCCGCAGAGGAGACCCCGATGCCGCCCCACAGCGATAGCCATGCAGCCCTCCATACGGCAGTGGGAAGGTCTTACCTTCTTCCACATTGCCAGCCCGGAGCCCCTGCGGCCCCTCCGGCCTGGCTAGCTGGAGAAGCAGCAAGCAAAAAGCTTTCATCACCGGGTGGGACTGGCTGACCTCAATTTTCAGATAGTGGCAGTAAATGTGGTAGCCTGGGGGGAACACAGCCCACAGTAAACACGTGAGGGGAGGCCAGACTTCATGGTTCCCCCCTCCCTCCTGCCCTGGAGTGAAGGGAGGGTCATTTGCCAGGCTCCATCTTTGCCCTGCTAGAGCAGCTCTGTCTCCAGAGCTGGGGATGAGCTCTGCTCCTGAAATCCCAGCAGGAAAAGCAGAGGGAGAACCAAGCTCTCCTGCCTTTAGCACAGGAGACATGAAGGTCTGCTGCCCATGGGAATGGGGTCTGGCCACCGGTGAAGCCCAGGGGACCCCAGCAGGGCATCACCCACCTTTGGGGATTGGTGGAAAAGCAGGACAAAGCGGGCACCAGGAGGAGCAAGTGGTTGTTATCCCACCTGCCCATTTCTGAACACAAAGCATGAGGTCCTGAAGCCCATCTTGGTCCTAGCAGCTCCAGCAACGCAGGAGCCCCTCGTCATGTTCCCTGGGAGCTTTGCGATAGGACAAGGGTCCCCATGCTCATATGAAGGTGCTGAAGATGGACCTCCCCAGCACCCTACCTGGGTCAAAGGTCTCCACGCCGCGGTTAAGCAGGCTGATGTCCAGCTGGCAGAAGTGGACGACGTTATAAAGGGCAGAAATTACCATCCTCCACACCCCGGCCAGGACACCCACCAGGACGTTGATGGGGAAGAGCAGGTAGGTGACTATGTAGAGAGCTCGCCTGCGGGTGGAGAAGGAGGAGTAAGGAACACAAACACCACGGGACAAGAAGCATGGCCCTTCCCTGCCAGAGAAACCTCCTGCCAAAATAAGCCTCCCACCCTTCCCTCCCTCCTCGGCAGACACTGTCCCTGTTTGAGGTGTCTCCATCCCATGGAGAGAAGCAAACACCCTTGAGGGATCTTGGAGATGAAACAGCCTAGTGTGCCATCAGGACTTCAAAGCTTGGCCTCCAGCATGCATAGGGTCTCCATTTCTCCTTGAAGACTTAGAAACCAGGTAAATTGTGAATATAGCCGTTTGGGATGGAGGACACCAGCTCCTGTGGAAAGTGCCTTGGCTGGACAGAGCAGGACACCTAGATCCATCTGTCACCCTTGTCTTCAGCATAACGAGACATCTTAGGCAGCGACACCATGCATGAGTGAGCAACCACATCCGCTGGCAGCATCTGAACCTGTCCAGCCAATCCTGAGGGATCTGGGCTCTCTCTAAGGCTTGCAGGTGGGCATGGTGGAGCAGGGCACAGACGTCACCAGCTTCACCCCATGAAAATCAAGGCTGTAAATGGACCACGGCCCTCTAAAGCATCTAAAGAAACCTGTCTGGGAGCATGGAGCCACTTGAACCCCCTAAAAACCCACAGGTTTTCCCCCTTGAGCTCATGGCACAGAGGATGCCATGACATTGGGGCATGTGTGACCCCAGCACAGTCCCGGGCTCCTGGACCTCAGGAGGAACAGCTCCACCCCAAAGGCCCCCCATGTCCCCACACCTGTTGGTGAGCTCCTTCCGGAGGGGATGCTGCTCCAGGAATTGGTAATGAGCTGCCAAATTTTGCACGATGACGGCAACAACCAGGGTTAACCAGAAGGGCCTGGGTGGGAGGGAAGAGACGGATTGGACACCACGAGGGTCCCAAGCATGACACGCCATCCCAGGCAGCAGAAACCTCCAGCAGGAAGAGCCCAAGATAGAGCCTCCCCTTGACAGCGTACCCAAAACCAGGCCATGTCTACGGCCCCCACTTGGGTCTTCCATCCCTCCCCGAGGGCTGTGAGTGCTCACCACATGTTCTGAATGATTTTGAAGAGGTGTGTGTTTGTGCCGGACTGGAGTGGGATGACGACGAGGAAGGTAAACCCCACCGAGCAGATGAAGAAAATCACTTGCTGGATGACGAGACCTGGGAAGGAGACACGGGGAGAGAAACCATGGCGGGGGAGGATGGAAAAGCGGTTCTTGCTCTTATTCCCCAAACCTGTGCTTGTTGCTAAGTGTATCTTTCATTTTAATCCCATAAAAAAAACCTGCGAGATCCTTACCTGCCTCCTCCACTCTGAACACAATGCTCCGTGTGGGATTTAATTACAAGTTCAGCTTTTCTTATCGCTCCTCACATTATTCCCACTGAGAAGAGCCATCACTTGGGGCTGCAACTATGATGCCTCATCATAAAATTCAGCCTGAGCTCTGATTTCTAATCATAAATCACACCGAGATCAGCAGCAGCTGCGGTTGCTTGTGCTTGAGCTTGTCTTTCACCTCCACTGCTTTGCTTTAACAACTTGAAAAATCAAGATTTGTAAGCAGAAGTTAGCTGCACGGCAGCACAGCAAGATGCAGCCAGCTCTGCCAGGGATGCACCGAGTGCTGGGTGGCTAAAGGAAAGCTGCTTCTCGCTGACAAAGGGGTGCAAGGATCTCCTGGGATGCTCTCCAGCTCCTACCTCTACACTAATCTCTACAATCTGCCTGCAAAATAGGTCCACTTTCCCAAGGGGCGATCCCCAATAGAACTTGTGGTCCCCCCTGCCCTTCCATCACCCCCTGGACCCTCAGCTTGACTCTCCTGTGCAGCCTCCTGTTGATGATATGGTTGGGTGTTGCACATGCATCACCGCAGACGCTGCCCAGAGCCACCTCCCATGCGGCAGAGAGGCTTCAAAACATCTGCAAACCATGGTGGGGTGAGCATTTCTACCTGCTGCCTCAACTCCCCACGTCCTCCACCCATCCGTGGGACAGCCAGCCCTCCCAGCCAGGGAGACCCAGGCTGTGCTGGAGAAGATATGCAGTGAGGAGCACCCGGGATGTGAAGACCAGGACGGGAGGAGACAGACAGTCCTTTGCACGAGATGCTGTGACAGCTTTTCAAATCAAAATATTTGGGCTTGAGCCAAAACAAGTCATCATTCCCTCACCCCCCCTCCTTTTTTTTTTTTCCCTTCCCGACCATTTGGTGTTCAGCATGGTCCTTCCCGCAGAAGGACAGATTGTGTTTGGGGAAAGAGGAACAAAAGCCTCACAGCCATCCCTTTGCAAAATGGGGCAAGAAAGGGGGAAACGATGCTTAAACCCCGGGGTAGGCTGTGCAAGGTGGGAGTCCACCACCCATCCGCCCCCTCCTACTGCCCAACACCCTTTACCCAGGCAGGCAAAAGCCGTCTGGAAGCCGGCAAAGCTCATCCAGCAGACGACAGCTTGTCGGGACGGGCGGAGGATGTGGGCTTTGTAGAAAACATCCAGCACAGCCCCTTGGTAGAGCGCCTTCAGGTTGTTCCTGGGGAGAGGGAGAGAGAGAGCAGCTCCATCCTGGCTCGGTGACAAAGCCAAGGCCGGAGGAGCGGGTACCCCCCGTACCTGTGCATCACCAGCGTCTGCAGCAGCATGGCGCAGGTCAGCAGGCAGCACAGCACCAACGAGCAGATGTAGCAGACTGCGGAGGAGCAGGGGGAGATGGCCGGGTCAGTGCTGCGGCCAGCCCCAGCAACAGGAGTTGTATTGTAAAGTGTAGCTCAGGAGCATTGCGGGGGGCTGCGTTATGGGGCTGCATGGACATACACCCCAGCAGGGTGCCGTGCCTCAGTTTCCCTCCCTACCCCCTTTGCGATACGTGGACCTCCAACCTCCCATGGCAGACATGAGCTGGTGAGACAGTAAAAGGGAAGGGAAAAGCCGAGCAGCCAGAGGAAACACGAGCAGTTAGGCTAGCTTAGCGCCGGAAAAAAACATTGAGCAAGCTGTGATAAGCAGGCAGTGCGATGGAGAGAGCCTAGGAAGATGCTCGCAGAAAAGGGGGTGCTGGGGGCGAAAGCAAGAGGAGGGAAGGAGGGGTGGAGATGTCAGGAAAACAAAGAGGGTGAGAGAGGCTTGATGACTCTGGAACAGCCATAAAAAGGGCCCTCCTTGGCTGGGGGGACCCCCAGGGGGGGGGGGAGTGGTGGTACCCCAAGGTGTGGAGGAAGGGGGGCACCCCTGCCTTCCCTGCATCGCCCCCATCCAGGGCTTTCAATTATGCAGGGGGCCATGGGCCATCTGCTCGATTCCAGCACATATCAAAGCCCACAACCGAAGGGCAGCATCTGCAGTGCTGTGCTGCCCCTGCCTCGCCGCCTTGGCATGCGGCAGAGCTGCCTGGCATGGCACCAGGCTCACACGGTCGCCTTTCATCTCTGCAGAGCTGCGGCTTCGGCAGCTGATTTTAGAGCCCCCCTGGAAGATGCCCCATCACCAACCGCTTTGCTGGACCATCCTCTGGGCTAGAAATCTCTCCACTAAGTTCTGAAATCCTCCAAAAAAATCACCTGTGGATGCAGGAACCCACCTTCCAGTGACCACAGGTAGTACTTGACGGTGTTGAGCTCCTTCTCCATGTCACCCGGGATGGCCGGGCTCTCCGAGGGCACCAAGCCAAACTGGACCAACAATACCACGATGTCCTTCGTCATCCCCGCCCGTACGATCTGGATGGTGGGGACGACAGCTACCAGGAGCAGCAGGGCAACCTGCAAGGGAGCGGTGCCGCGTGAGCCTCAGGTCACGGCGTCCCGCTGCCGAGCCATCGCCCTAGCTTAAAGACTTAAGGCTGGCTGAGCCCTGGAAGCACATGGCCGGTTGCTGCGGCTCAGCCGAGGGATGGTAATACCTCGAGGCACGCTAATACCATCCCTGTAGCCAAAGTTGTGGCGTGGCAATGACCTCTGGGCTCCTCTGCCTCGGGAGGACACAGCCGAGGAGGCAGGGAGGGGGCCCTGCTTGGCACTGAACCGTCAGCGTCACCTGGTAGACAGCGATCACGGCCGTGGTTATGGACAGGATGAGCTTCAGCGGGACCCGGAAACCTGGAATGCAGAATCGGATGGGTGTATCAGAGAGGAGCTGGGACGTGGGATTACGGGAGAAGAGCGGAGCGGGCTGCAGGTCCACCCAACCCAGTAGCCAAAGCAGGGGAGAGCACTGGAACAAGGCGCTTGCATATGAATAGGGATTTCCCCAGGTAAATCCTGCAAGGATGCGTAGCTAGGAGTAGTTTCTCCCTACTCCGGCTGGCTGGGTTTCCTTCCTGTTGATCCTCCTTTCCTGCAAGCCCATGACACCTCGTGTGCCCTCAGCATGGAGTCCCTTGGGGTGCCACCACCCAGGACAGCCCCTGCTTCTTCCACGGGCAGAAGGGCCAAGGAGTAGCTCCTCATTCCTGGGCTGTGGTAGGGATTTTATCCACTTCCCATAGATTTTATTCCCGTACCATAGCCTTGTCAAGAATCAGGCTGCAATATTAGCACACCCCATGCGTGAACCTTGCTGCCTCAACCCCCCATGTCCCCAGGAGGGCGGGAGGGTGTCCAACTCCCCATCCCAAATTGCAACAGTTTGTGCAAAAAAAAAGTGGGGGGGGCGGAAGCTGCCACAGCGCAGATGCTTTGGGGAAGGAGCCAAGAAAGGCATTTGCTCTCCCCGGGGAAGAAGGGGGGGGCAGCCTGTTTGCCGAGCTGCTGCTGCAGCCTACCTTCCTCGGGAGCGTAGACGTAGGAGCGTAAATACGTCTGGACCCTTGAGAGGAGGCTCTCTTCTGTCTTCGTGGAGCTGAAGGAGGAAGGAGACGGTGCAAAGCATGTCTGCTGGGAGCAAGGACCCCCTCCGCCCCGGCAGCGGGCAGCCAGGCAGGGCTGGCACAGGCGCTTGCTGATGCGGCCAAGCTATGGGAAGGTGTTGTCCTTACCTCCCCTTCCGAGGACGTTTGGACAGGACAGCCTTTAGGTACTTCTTGTAATAACCTCGCCCTGTAACCTTAAGGAAAGCAGCAAGAAGTTGCCCGATTCGAGCGCAGCAACACCCCGAGGTACTTGGGGCAGGGAGAGGTGACTCTCATTTGGGGGGGCCTCTTAGCAGAGCATCTGCATCCCACCCTGCAGCTGTCACCTTGGTCTTCTGTCCCCGGCCACCCACCCATTGCCAGCACGATGCCCCGCAGCACCCTCACTGAGGAATGCGGGTGATGGGCTCCCAGCCCTCCTTTGGATAACGAACGTGTCAGAGCGATGCTAGCAGCAAATCTTCCGGCACCGGAAAGGTGGAAATAAGCCTGCCTTGTTCTCATCAACAAAGCAGCCCAACACCAGGCGTACCGGTAGGACAGCCGAAACCCATCTTTCCCATCAGCCAGCTCCCAGCAAGCGCCTGGGGGTCACTTCAGGCCACGCTTGGGCTTGATGGCTTTTTTTTCCCCGAAGTAGGGTTTTCCTCCTCTGTTCCCAACAAAGCCCCGGCATTTCCCAAAGGGCCAGGGATTATCCAGCCTGCTGATAAAAACAAGGCGACCCCAGTCCCAGCCTGAATGGGATGCATTGATGCTTTAAGCCTCTTGTACTAAGGAGTTTACTTCAAAGATGGATTTTTCACTCCCTCTTCAAATCCAGCGAGATAAACAGAGCTGCGACCCGCACCATCAGAGAGACGGAGACGAGGCAGCTCCCAGTGCCGGAGCAAAGTGGGGGGCACGTGCCCTGGGAGCCCCCCAGTTCTGCTGGTCCCCCAGGCAGACAGATGGGCTGTGGGGCAGGACAGCCATGAACCAGCCCATGCTGTTCACAGAACCATGCAGGTCCATCAAGGGATTCTTCTGCACCACCAACCCCCCCCAGCTGCCCCATGGATTTTCATTACCTCCTTATCCAAGGTCTCCTCCTGTCCGGTGAAGCTTCTGATAAGCAGCGCTGGATACCAAAGGCTTAGGAGCACAAGGCAGAGGATGATGGGGACGTAAGAGAGCGTGGAGTAGTACCTGTATATCTGAGGAGAAGCAGAGATGTCACACATGAGACCACCCCAGCCTGGGGGCCTAGCCCTGGACAGGTGACACCTTAACATCGCTTCAAAGAGGTGATGAAAACACCACCTCCAACTCCTGGCCACACCAACCTCCCCGCTCCTTCCCCAGGCAGTGGGACATGTACCTTCGGTGACTGGGGACAATCCACCTTCTGCCAGATGTGGACCACACAGTGGCACCAGGAGAGCAGGCAGCCCACGAGGTAGCTGACCCTGTGCCGGACGGTGGCACAGGCAACCAACGGGTAGTAGAAGGCAGGGTAGTAGAGCAAAGCCAGGATCTTCCAGTACTCTAGATGGGATGGTGAGAAGAGAGGAGGGAGAGCAACATGGGCAGAAGAAGGCAGCACTCTCAGTATGGACCAGGGTGAACAGGCTGCTCAGGGTGCCACCCGGAGCTGCACATCTCCAGGGTAGGGAGGAGTGTTGTGCCCACGGGCCAGAAGGGTGCTCGCCTTACCCCGGGTGCTCTGGGAGGAGTGGGCGATGAGCGGCAGAGGGTCTCTGTCCAAGACCAGCACGCACAGTGAGGAGAACAGGATGCCGAACACCGCAACCACCAGCCCTCGGTTGTCTTCCTCCTCCAGAAAGTTGGCTGGGCTGCAAGCCAAGGGAGGGACGAGCCTGACACCAGGCCATGGGCACCCTGTCCCCACCATCCTCTGCCCCAGAGCTGGTTTATCCCATGCTGCACCCTCAGCATCCCTCCACCTGCTTGGCCACAGGGTGACAGGGACCCTGGGGACCAGGGTGCAAGGCCAGGGTACCTGAGCAGTCCCGGGACACCGTTCCAGCAGCTCCGGTGGAGACGCCTGCGTTTCACCAGCAAAGACAAGCCCACAAGCACAGCCAGCTGCCAGAAACCCAATTGAGGGAGAAATAAATACACGGCAGGGGCTTGGACATGCTGCTATGTGGTGGGAGCCTCCACAGAGACATGGTCTCCACCCGACACGCTAAAGCCAGCCACGGTCGCAGCAGGGACAGGCGCTTCTCGACCCGCTCTGAAGAGTTACGGGCTCTAAACGACTCAGAGGCACCATGTTGCGAAAAAGACAAAATAAATCAAAGTCTTCCATTGACTTCAGGGACAAAACAAAGTCTAGAGATGTGTGAGTCCCATGCTGGGACTCAAACCTCACTCCATCTCAAGCTGGGGAGCCCAGACCTGCTGTTTGGGAGTAGATGGACATGACCTGAGCTGGGGGACAGCAGATACGATGTCAGGGCAGATAACCCACCCCACAGGACTTGGCAGGTACTTACGGAGACTGGTGCCATGCAGATGTGATACAGTCTGGGAGAAATGGTGGGGTCGCAGTCTGGGATTATGCTGGGAAACATGCTGGAAAGAAGGGGATAAAAAAAAAAATATGATGCACGGTTGTATTTAGTCCCAAAAGGGCAAAGCAAAGATGTTGGGGTAATGCCCACATACGCGGCGGCAGTGGAGATTTCAGTCTGATGCTGAGAAGGGGCGAACCTCCAAAGAGCTGGGTTACACCACTCTCCATAATCAGGGATGAAGTCACCCTCACAAGATGACTTGATGATCAAGGTAGAGAGATAAGACCTGGGAGCGGCCCTGAGCTGATCCCCGCGGGGACCGGGTGACCTCCCCGCATGTACAGGGATGCCAAGGCTGAACAGGGGACCACCAAGGAAGGACAAAGTCCCCCTTCACCTCTTTCACACCCATATCCATTCTGGGTCTTTCCAAGGGGTGCAGTCTGCAAAGCAGCAGATCTCCTTGCTGCCTAAAGCGCGGCGCTTATTAAATGCCAGCTGGAAGGCTTGAAGACTCCTTGCAGGGTGTTTTGACACCTTTCCCATGGGAGAGGGACCAGCCCCAGAGCTGGGGGGATGGCGGAGGCGATAGCTGCCCAGGGTAGCTGCATGCGGGACAGGGTCCCAGAGCCACATCCCCCGGCCAGCCAAGGCCAGTCGAGCAGGCGCACCAGGCTCTGCTTTATTTATTCGCTCTCTGGCCTCCACCACATCCCCTAATCTCCGCTTCGCTGCAGCCCTCCTCCTCTCTCCAAGGTCGGGCGCCGTCATGCCCAGCCACCTTCACACAACGCTGGGCAGCAAATCCCTTTGCCAGGGAGCTGAACCCCTTAAGACCAGTAACTTGCAGAGGGAGAACCCCATGAGCCCCATAACTCGCAGGGAGGGAACTCCTTGTGAGCCCTCACGCCCTCCCAAACCCCATAGCGCCGGTGGGGTGGGCAGAGACGGGAGACCAGCTGCAGAACGGAGCCCCACACACAAGGCTGCAGGGAAGGGTTCGACAGTGAAATTAGGATTTCTGAGGCATCAGATGTCCCAGGCTGTCACCAACCTGCCAGGAAAGGCTTTTTAGGACCAAGGGCCATTAGCAAAGCTCAGATTTCTGCTTTTTTTTCTCAAAAAAAAATATCCAGGCTCCAGAAATCCAGGGCACTCGCCCACAAGACTGAGAGCACAGGGATACCAAAACCCTTTTTGGTATCACCAGGGCTTCAGCATCTAAATCCAGAGCATCCAGGAGCAATGAGATGGGCAAACCCCCTGGTGCTGCCTCCATCCCTTCACTGACCATGGCTCGCTGCAAAGGAGGACACCCAGAAAATCCCCCCAAAGGTTTCTAGCAGAGGTTTGGGTCATGCAGGTAGGGCCTCACCTGGGAAAACTTGGGCTGGGCAAGGAGATTTCAAAGGCTGTTTCAAAATGCAGAAGATTAAGGATGAGGAGGAACCCTTTGGGCTGGTCGCTGCTGGGATCTCCTCCTGCTTGCCCTCAGGATTAGGTATCAGTCAACTGAGCGGCGTAAAAGCCACCCGCAGAGGACTAAGTCAACAGAGGGACAATAGATGCTGATAGGTGGGCCTTGGGACACCCAGCTTTGAGCCTTGTGGGACACCTTGGATAAGCTGCCCCGCTGCTTGTGCCTCAGTTTCCCCTCCCATAGCATTTCTCTTGTCCTTGGGAAGAGCACCCAGCTAGGAAGACGTGAAGCGCTAGGTCCTTGCTGTGAGGTTGGGCTACGGGGTCCCATCCCCAGGGCAAACACAGCACAGCTCTTGGGAGTTCGCTCAGTTAAAGAGCGGATCATCACGGATGGAGAGGGGATAGGCTTCACTGATACACCAGTCGGGGGGGGGCTGGGGAGCGAAGAACGCAATCAGACATCCCTGCAAGCCCAGGGATTCTCAGCCCTATTTTGCAGGTAAAAAACCTGTTCAGGGTGGCCGTGCCACGCAGAGACCCAGTTGAGCCTCCCAGCCCCGCACCCCTGCCAGCAGTTCGGGGTGAGCTGACACCTCGCTTCGCCCCTGGCCGAAATCAGCATGGCCACGGGGTGCTATGAAGGCAGGGGACTGATTCACAAGGCGGTGTTGTGGCGAGCTCTTCCAGCCCAGAAGCACGGAGCCAGAGCAGCCCGCTCTATGCCAGCAAAGGCTCTGGGGGCTTCGGAGGGGTCAGTGCAGCAGATTAACACCACGCATTTCACTTCGCATTTTGAGGAAGGCTAAGCAAAAGGAGGTGCATGTAGCAGAGATGCCTGCTGTAGGATTTACCCCAGCTCTTGCCAGAAGCACCCTAAAGAAATGAAGCATTTTTAGGGGGCCAAAACAAGCATTTTTCGTCACCTCCCGCTCACCCGGGAAGAAATCCTGGCTCTGCTGCTCAAGGGACGTTGCTCTCCAGAGATGGGATAGAGCAGCCAGGCAGGAGGCTGGCAGCTGCCCGGGGTGACCGCAGTGGGGACAGGGGGACGCGTGGCACCCGTCAGCAGGGTAGACACTTACTCATCCTGCTGCACAGCCGACTCCATGGTTTCGTAGATATACCAGTCAGAAATGAGGTCATCAGCGCCAGCAAAGCCATTGTCCAGCAGAGCATCGTGCATCCCACCGGAGCCATTGGCTGCCATGGCCGTCTCCTTCCCCCCCTCCACGGGCTGGAGAGAGATGGCGAGAAGCAACCAGAGGCAGAAGGCAACCGGGCTTTCACGAGATGGATCCCCCTGGGCTCTTGGAAATGCAGGGACGGAGGCGCTGAGCCAAGAGCCTTTATCTTCTCAGGTCACTCCCGCAGCAGTGTAGGGACCGGGAGCTTTCAAAATCCAGCTGTGCCTCCAAGGATCCACCTTTTATCTGGACTCGGAGGGAGGGAGAAGGGTTGAAACCCTCCCTGCTGCACAACCCGAGCGCTCAAGGCGCACCTAATCATCCCCCGGCCGCTCCCTGCCCGCCGCCGGACGCTGATAGACTCGGAGCCTTTGTTTGGGTAGTTTAACAGTTTTTCCGCCAACGACTCAAAAACCGGCGCAAGGGTCAAGTTTTGGTCTCGGCAGCATGGGCTGGCTGGCAAAGCGGGGATGAGATCTCACCACAGCTGGGGAGCCCGTGGCTCGTGTCCCCAATGTCCCTGTGTGCCACCAGATGCCCCACACTGCATCCAGCCTCCCCCAGCCCCGGGAGGAAACCTCAGCCCCTCTCCCTTTGTAGCAATAAAAAGAAAGAAGGATCTGTCATAGTGCCAGACCCAACAAGCTCTCATTTCTCCTTCTCCCCATTATGTTTTGATGACTTTGGCCCAGACAACCCCACACCCTCTTCTGCTGTCCCAGAGCTACATTGCACAAGCTGCAACACGCCTCATCTACCATTACTGTTGGAAAGGCAGCGCCCAAAGCTGTCCCCAGGTGCCAGGTAGTGATGCTCAGTGCAGCCTCCAAGCCACAGGAACCAGCCCAGGACCTGAGCACACCTCATCCTACACCCCGGGGATGTCACCAAACCACCCCCAGGGCAGCTCGGTGGCTCCAAGGGAAGGGTAGGAGACAGATGAGTGAGCCGGCAGCTTTGCTCCGGGCTGCTGTTTGTACAGCTGGTGTTCACCAGGGACCGTGATGGATATAGCATGCCAGCTTCAAAGGGATTCCCCAAATTAGGGCTGTGACCCTGCAGGCAGCCCTGTCTCTGGACAGACGAGTGGCACTCACCACCACAGCCACATCACCCCGTGGCCTGATGCTCCACTGGATATCACGTCCCCAGCCAGGTTTTTGGTCCCCTCCAGGGACTCCCTCTAGGTCAGGACATGGGACCTTGGATCTTCACCTCCCTTCCCAGAGGGCCAAAACTCAGCTAGGAAGCAGCTGTCGCTGCCACCCCCACCCCAGTATTTGGTCTACTTCAGGGTGCCACCACCATCCCACTCCCCACCAGTGCAGGTTCCAGCAGAGGAAGGATGGAGCCCACCAGCCCCAGGTGAGCATCCAGCTCAGATGGATCCCAGACCCCATCCTCAGCCCATCCAGCACATGTCACAGTCTCAAGGCATCGACTCTCCAGCCATCCCTTGGTTTCGCCTGCACGGGGAAGCAGCTCTGACCTCACCTCCCAGGAATGTAGTGCTCCGTAAAAAGGTAGAAGTAGTCTGTAAAGTTCATGGCAGTGCACACACAAACACACACATCTTCAAGCCCATTTCTGTGGGGTCAGCGGAGGGTGGCAGGGCTTGGAAGTTGGGCCTGGGGTTTAGGCAGGTAAAGCGAGCCATGCCAGCCCTGGCATGCAGCAGCACCCGTCCTGGGATGCTGTTTCCCTCACCAAGCAACATTAGGATGAAAGATCAGCTCCAAAAGTCACTGTGGGATTGCCCATGCCCCTCTCCCCTCCCAGTGGGGTGATCCAAAGAAAATAAACTGGCAGAAAGCAAGATCTACCTACCCACCAGCCCAGCAGCATTGCCTTGTATGTCCCACCTCCAAACAAGCCAGCAGATGCCACCTTGCTAATGTCCTGATTTTCAGCCACCCAGGGACACGGCGGCTGCGGAAAAGCAGGAAGGAAAGGAGAGAAGAGCCCAGCAAGAGGCACATACAGCTGCCAGGCAGCCCCACTGGGCAAGCCGCAGCCTGAATCCACGCCGGGCAGCAATATCACGAGACCAAGCTGACAAGCTCCCTGGGTGGTGTGTTAGCTCCCCTCCCAGCATGTCCTTGCTCAGAGTATCATGCACACTTGGACCCCAGGGCTTTGTTGATGGTCTCTGGCTGGGTATGGGACCAAGGTGGGTCAACGTTATCCCAGCACCAAGCGATCTTGAAGTTCTCCAGCCCAGCCCACTCATCTTCATGAGAAGGATGCTGCCCTGCTCCAGGGGAAGGTCTCCTCCTGTAGTCCACCAAGCAGGGTGGAAACATCTTGGCCATCATCTGCAAAAGCCAGGTGTCTGCAGAAATCAGGAGAAGCTTCAGAGCCTCCATCCCATCTGCTGGGCACCATCAACCAAGCCATGGCAGCGCAAGGCTGAATGAGCGTTGGTGTGACAGGGGGACATCGAAGCCTGGACCCCAGTGGATGTCCTGTTGCCCTGGCCAACAGTGCTGGTGCTGTGCTGGACCAGAGACCTTGCTGGGGAAGGGCGTTTCAGCTGGTGAGAAGCTTGTGGTGAACCCTTCAGCCTCACCACGGCACAGGGAGGAGTTAACCTCCCTGTTCCTGCCCAGGCTGTCCCGGAGAAGGAGAGGCAGGTTTTCCAAACCTTCGGCAGGATCAGCATCTCCAGCCAGGGCAAGGCCACCGCTCTCCACCCTACCCGGCTCCTCTGGCTGGGGCTGAGCCAGGAGCTCGCAGGCTTGGAAACCCCTCCATGCCCTGCGTTTCCCCGAAACCTGATCTCTTTGCTCCTTCACGTAACCTCTGCCGAAACAGGCTGGGCCTTTGATCGCAGCAGCCTCGCCCGAGATTGATGGGTTCAATAAAGCTCCTTCATATTCTTCATTTCCCACTATCCATCACTCTCTGGGGAGCTTTTGCATCCCACCACTTGAATTAAATGAGGGGGAGAAGAGGGGAGCCATAAGGGAATTGCCCCCCCTTCCCTCCTCCCATCCAGCCTAATGGTGATGCCTTGTGTACCGCTTTTAATAAAAATGATCAAGATCTCATTTCACATTTGTTCAGGGAGCCCTTGGGCT